TGCTTGACCATTTTAACACAACGTGGTGCGATCATCCCCCTTGCGCGGAGTGAGGGTTCTCGACCCCGCACAACATGATATACTCGACCGCCATTATGGTTACCGCCAATAAAGAGAGGTTAAACGGTAACCTGGTTGCCGAGCTCACGAAGTGAATTGGCTTGTTTTACACCGTCGTTGCCAAGCGACGAAAACCCAATCCCGATGGCAAACACCGAGGAGGGGGCAGGGGGGGTGGTTATACCGGTAGCGAAGAAGTATCAGTCTTCTCTCCACTCAGGGGCGAGGAGAGAGAAGGAAGGACCCTGTTGCTCCGTGTTGGTCGCATTGTGTACAACAGGCCCGGATGGGTCTTTCGCCCTCTCCCTGCCTTGCTGGTGAAACCAGGATGGACGGATTACGTTATGAAAAGAGCGCCACCTCCCCCCCCCCTCCCCAGGCGCGGAACTACGTGTTGGACATGGCGGAGGGCCCCCGAACTTCGCTGACGGAGAGGTTTCCCGATGCTGGCGCGGAGGCTCTGGACCTCTTGTCCAAGATGCTGACCTTCGACCCCTCGCGACGTATCTCTGTTCGCGATGCGATGCGCCATCCCTGGCTGGCGAGGTTCTACCAGGTGCTTGCTTTTGTGTTTGCTGTGTGCTTGATGTGTGTTTGCTTTTGTGTGTGCTTGCTTGTGTGCTTGCTTCGTGTTTGCTGCGTGGTTTGTGCTTGCCTTTTATGTTTTCTATCCTTGTGATTTGTTCGCGGTATGCTTGCTTTTGTGCTTGCTTCGTGTTTGCTTGGTGCTTGCTTTGCTTGCTTTACTTGCTTGGCTTACCTGGGTGTGGCTCTTGCTGGTGTTTGTCCTTCTCTTCCGAGCCCTGGCTTGGTCGAGGCTCTGGTTTTCGGCTGTTTTGGCAGCGGGTTTTCGGCGACAGGAGTCGTCGTCGGCCCTGTGAGCTTTTGAGATTTTTTCTTCGTCTCGAAGCGTTGTGCATGTTTGTGTTCGCCATTATCAGCCGTGCCCCTCTCGTGCTCTCCCCCCCACACATACACACTAAAGGTGGCACACGAAGACCCGGCCCCGAGACCGGCGGAGCTAGCCGCTGTCGAGAACCTCCAGCTCACGCGCCCGAACCTGCAGCAGCTCATGTTCGAGGACGTGTGCGCCTTCCGCCCCGAATGCCGCGCTATGGCCCCCGGGGGGGGCGGCGGTGACCCATCACCGGCCAGCACCGAGTTCAGCGACATCTCTTTAGACTCCGCACCAACAGGGGGAGCGGCGGCTAAGCCAGGGAAGCCGGCGGGGGAGGGCGGCGGCGAGCTTGCTGCCGTCGGGGAGGGGCAGGGTTGTGCGGCGATGGCGGGGGAGGGGAGTGTGGCGGCGGTGGAGACAGCGGCTGCTGCTGCTGCTGCTCCTGCGGTTGCTGCGAATTGAGGACGTTGTAGCCAGTCGCGTTGCTGAAGCAGCAGCACGGTGTGTTTCTCTGTTGTTTTTGGATTGACTCGCTCGCTGTTGATTAGATAATTTTTTTTTTCAACTGGCAGAAACGAGTGGGCAGTGTGGGGAAGGGCGTGGCGCACTCGCCCCGCCTCTCTCCCTCCCCCCCCCTCCGCACGTCACTCCCTATTTCTCGTGACCTTTGATGTTGAAGCTTTGGCGCGGGGCACCAGGGGCTTTGTTACAGCCGCACAAGAAAGTACAGACGTACGTAAACACGTTGACATCCGGTGCACCGTGAAATTGTGCATCTCGTCGTCTGCTATGGCGCCCCCGCCCGCTCGCCCGGCTCCCCGTTTGCCGAATCCCACCCTTGTTTCTTTTTTCTGCTCGTGCGGTTTCGTTGTCGTCGCCCCCCCTCTCTCCTCTCTTGCTCTCTTGGCTGTTTTGATTTCCCTGGTGAGAGAGAGAGAGAGAAAGAAACAGCGGCGTGTGGAGTGTGCCGGCTGGGGTGTTGTAACGTGGGCCGGCCGCTGACCGGCTTTGATTGGTTTGGTCGCGGAGGCGCGTTTTTTTTGTTGTTCCGAAACGACTTGCAACCTCGCGTCGTTTTTTTTTTCGGTACTGGTGTAAAAGTGAGACGAAAGATGGTCCGCTTTCGNGGGGGGGGGGGGGGGGGGGGGGGGGGGGGGGGGGGGGGGGGGGGGGGGGGGGGGGGGGGGGGGGGGGGGGTAGTCAACGCTAAAAAAATCGTGCTAAAGAGGGAAGAGGAGGTGTACGAGTAATTTTGTTGTTTTCCTTGACCCTTCCTTTTGTGTGTGTCGATGGCACTTGCCTTGTACAAGCCATGTGTGGAGCACCTCAAGTCTACACATTCTCAGCCGAGCGAGGCGGGGTACATCACTGACCAACCACGCGCGTGATCGATGTGCACGCACACACGTTTTGTCGTTGGGTACAAGCCGTACAAGCCATGCTCTCGTTGACGGTGTAGCACCATGTTCAGCCCGGCGAGCTATCACTGCTAGTAGACTGCTGTTCATGGGATTGATTTCCATTTGGACGGCTCTAGACGAGCTGCTGGTGGTGATGGCAAATTCTTTCCGCGTGCGTTGCGGNGGGGGGGGGGGGGGGGGGGGGGGGGGGGGGGGGGGGGGGGGGGGGGGGGGGGGGGGGGGGGGGGGGGGGGGGGGGGGGGGGCGAGTTAAACTGGAGATAGTAGCACGTGGTGTCCCGGAGAGGGTGGCATCGATGGTGTTGGTGGTCCTTGGGTTCTCGCCTTTTTTCCTCGGTTCTATTGGGGCTGAAAGAGGCAGCGTACTCTTGTGGATAGTTTGATAGTTGGACACGATGTGATAATAGGGGCGCCGCCGAGCCTCGAACTCATGTGGGGCGGGGGAGAGGGGGGAGGGGGGCTTCCCCAATCATGTGCCTTTGCTTATGTAGCTTTCGTAATGTTTGGTGAGGGCGGGGTGTTTCGGGGGACCTTGTTTTCTTTGTCTTTCTTCTTTAATCTCTATGAAAAGCATGATTAAAGGGTAGTCTAATTACATAACACAACACATTGTCTTCAAGCCGCGTACAATCATGGTACGTGTTTTGCTTCTCTCCTTGCTTGAACAATCGTCCTACTAAGTTTTGATTTTTTGACTTGCTTTGTAGTTTACGGGCACCTACCGTCCTTGCTGTACACAGGGAAAAAATGGTCGTTTCATTTTGATGGGGGTTTTCGTGACTGAAATTCTCGGACTGTCTCGTGCGTTTTTGCTGTTGAATCGGCGGTAACGTCGGTTCAACAAGCGTATTAGAGAACCGGGGGGGGGGGG